GATGGGATGGGATGGGATGGGATGGGATGGGATGGGGATGAGATTGGGATGGGGATGGAGATTGGGATGGGGATGGGGATGGGAACAGGGAGAGGGGGGGGGTGGAAATGGGTATGAGGGCAGGAATGGGCATGGAGATAGAGACGGGGATGGGCACAGAGACGGGAATAGGGATGGAATCAGGACTGGCAAGCAAGAACTTTCCACCCCACTGCTCCGGCTGCACACAGAGGTAACCTTAAACACTGAAGCAGGAACCGTGGGGACAGAGTTTTTCCACCCCTATTCACAACTGTCAGGCGGTGATTAATGGCCAACAGGCTCGAAATTGCCTTTATTGCCAGCCCAGCATTGTTACTTGTGACAGCTAATGAGGTTAGACAGACTTTTACACAGCGCTTTACGCCAGTCCCAGCGGAGCAGCCCCGGGGGTTCGGTGCCCTGGGCGGGGGGACCCCCCGCTCCCCAGCGGTGACCAAGCCCGGGCATGTCCCGGGGGTACTGCCCACCCCACTGGCCCCGGGTCCGTCCCCTGCGGGGCTGGGGAGCAGCAGCGGGCAGGCTGAGACGGTGGCGTTAACGAGAGTGCTCCGAGACCTTCCAACTTGTCTCAATTAACTTCACAGTAAAACCCACGAGATATTTTTATATGGGCTCCACTGCAGCGGGGCGGGGAGGAATGGGGCAGGGATGAAAAAGTTTTCAAGTGCCGGAGAGAAGTGGGTGTAATAAACCATTTGTTCATATAAAAAAGCCCGTGCTGTTAAAATCCAGAGAGCCGCAGCACAGACACCACCGAATGTTCCTGGCCCCAGGTCCAGAAGTAATGATTTTCTTGGCCTTTTTTTTTTTTTTTTTTTTTCAGGATTATTACAAATAATATTTACCTTTGTGCTAGTTCACATCTTGATGCTGTTAAACACGTGGCCGCAGCTGGTTTCCCATTCAGGGTAATGATATAGCGCCGATGTTATGAAGCAAAACCTCGCCTGCGAGCCAGAACACCCCACATTTAAAAATCTATTACTTTTCAATATTATATGAATGTATTTTGCTTCAGCTCAGAGCAATTTCCTAGTTTACCCTTATTAAACTGAGAGGGGGCTGAGCAGAGGTTCTTGATTTATGAAACACATACTAGATTCATTAAAACCTTTAAAGATTTAATACATTTTATCAAGGCCTTAAATCTGGGCAAGCGTTTTAAAAAAAAAAAAAACAACCTAATACAGGGTGTATTTCATCTCTGGCGCCCTTTTGCGCTTATTTAAGAGCTGTAAAATTTGGATTGACAAATATCGCGGATATTTCATTCCTTATTTCTAAACGGCGCTGAATCCTCCTGACAGGTTTGTTATATATAACCCTTGGAGATCTATCAAGTGTAAAGATCAAATTATTCTCCTTTATTGACATTTTATTCCTCTCTCCCATGTTTTTTAAGTCCCCTTCAACAATTACAGAGGTGGAAGATTTAATATGTTTTTGCCCGGCCTGTCACTTTTCCCGTTATTACCCCTCCGTCTGCCCAAACAAGGGCGCAATGGGGACCGGGGGGTCCGTCCTGGGGGGGCGCGGGGCCGTGTCGGGGCCCACGGTGGCCATGGGGGGCCAGTGCTGGCTCCCACGTGCGA